CACTTTCCACTCTATTTTTTCAAAATTACGAGAATGAGTCTGACGGACAAAAACAAAAAAGCGAATATGAAAGCTATGATTCATGTAGAAAATGCAATCTGAGAAAAAGAATGGAAGAATAAAAAATACTCTAACGATAAGCAAAATAATTATAGATTTAGGAATGTGTTCACAGGTCAGAAATGTACATATATATCCATATTTACATAGATATACACAAGGATATGTATACATAGGAATAGGTAACAGAAATAGATTAAGTACAGTATGTCCCAAATGAAACTTAGAAAAGTATAAAGATGTCTGGAAATATAAAATTAGTAACTACAACTTGGTAAATAATAAAAAGGACTAAACACTTAAACACAAGTATCTCAAGCTTAATTATATGCCAACTCACCCATCATGTCTCGAACTTCCTCTGTTTGTGTAATGACTCGAGAGAGACCAAAATCAATTAGTTTTATATGCTGGCGGTTTTTGCTTAGTAAAAGAACATTTTCTGGCTGAAAAGAGAAGAAAATGGAAACATTGTAATGCACACACCTATATACAGTGGACCCCCGCATAACGATTACCTCCGAATGCGACCAATTATGTAAGTGTATTTATGTAAGTGCGTTTGTACGTGTATGTTTGGGGGTCTGAAATGGACTAATCTACTTCACAATATTTCTTATGGGAACAAATTCGGTCAGTACTGGCACCTGAACATACTTCTGGAGTGAAAAAATATCGTTAACCAGGGGTCCACTGTACTTCCTTCCTCTTACTACTCCCTTTCTTCCCCACACACACACATAATAAAAGTTCTGGAGCTTGATACAAATTATACCTTCAGTTATGGCACATATATCTGAGATTTACAAATTAGCTTCATGAAGTTAGGTCAAATGCTAAATTGCACATAGAAAAAAAAAATAAAGAAATGTAGTCCTTCAATAAGCTGTCATTAAATTACAATAACTTGCAGTACAAGAATCTGAGGTAAAAGAGTATAAGACAAAAGTTTCCTAAAGCAATTAAATTATGATTCATTACCTTAAATATACACAGAACAATATATAATGACTAAATTCTGCATTTACCTTTAAATCAAGATGAGCAATACCCAATGAATGCATGTGTTTGACACCTTGCAAGATTTGATGTAAAAATGCAGATGCTTCCTCCTCTGATAGTCTCTCTCTCTCACTTATATGATCAAACAGCTCACCCCCTCGCACCCTGAAATTTTGTTTTGTTTTTACTATCAATATTTCTTATAAATTGCACAAAATCATTTTGATTTTTTAGTGTAGGCAAGTAAATTTACAGAAAACATGCTACAAATAAATATGTTTAACATATTTCAAACATTTGACTGATGATATGAAGAGTAACTAGAAACTATAATTCAGTAAAATGTTCATTACCTTACAATGAATTAAAAAAAAAACACTGAACATAAACATATTTCTTTAAATATCTACAAAATTTCCAACAAGACATGGAGCAAATAAATGAAGAATCTAACTGCATTAAATTGAGTTATGCCAACCAGATTTACAAAGGATTATTAAAATACAAACACTATGTAATGTGATTATAAATTTATTAACCAGAAGGAAAATGCATTTATCATCATATCAGATGAATTCACCAGTTAACCTCTAATTCTTTTGTTGACATTTAACACTTACAATTGTAAAGAGAACAAAGAAAATATGACGTGCAGTGCTCTAGGAAAAAATACCCTGAAAGTGGTGAAGTGTTCTAGGAAAAAATACCCTGAAAGTGGCATAGTGCTCCAGGAAAAAATACCATGATAGTGATATAATACATTCCATGTCTTTATCTGATCTAAGTGCAAGACAAAAATATGCAAGGCCCAGTTTTGTAAAATATGAGCAGGTCAGCTCTGTAGAATATATAAAAATGAGCTGCTAATGTAATAATTTGTGTTAGTTTGCAATGATTAAATATAAATATGACAGTTTGCTAGAAAAAGTAAATGAGCAAGTTTGGAAATCAAATGAGGATCAAAAATGTGTTAATCACTTTGAAAGGTGATGATACAACTTCTCACTACATCTACATAAGTACAATTTTCAGATCGGTGCTCAGAGTAAAACAGATCACTAAATGTAAAATTTACTTATAATGAGAAGAGACAAAGATAAAACTGTGGCATTTTATGAAGTAAAAATTCTTCATTTTGCATTGAATCTGGAATTCAATTTCAAGGTTCTTCATCAGCAAAAATACAAAGGTTGAAAACAAATAAGCTACTTACAATTCCAGTACCAAGATAACCTGCTGTCCATTATCAAACACTTGATGAAGCGATATAATGTTCTGGTGATTATCCAGCTTTTGCAAGACACGTACTTCCCTTGCAATGGATTCTAAGGGCAACCCACGTCGGGAGGATGCCACACGTCGCTTGCGAATATATTTAGCAGCATATTCAGCACGAGTAGCTTTCTCAACACATCGGCGAACAACGGCAAACTGCCCACTGTAAGATACAGAGGCAAAATATTAATAGTAAAAAAGATAGGAAAATGAACAACATTACTCATCTATTAGTTTTTTTATCCCCTGACTTCACACATTCCGTATGTCTGCCATAATTACTGAAACATTCAACATAACTGGACAAACCTGGATACATTATCTAAATACACATACCATATAGTCATTACTGTCTCAAGATGTCATGTGTCCAGAAACCAGATACAACTCTACGGTTTATTTATCTATCACAATTCATCTACTGTGATATAATAAATAATACAAATAACACAGAAACCTGATATATACTCTAAAATGAATATGTCATTCGTGTAGTGGTATCAGCGACGGCGGACAAGAGTTTGTCTAGAGACAGGACAAAATACTCCTTGAATATTTTTGCTAATATCAACTCTACTGCTTATTTATCTAACAAAATTCATCTAATATGACATAATAAACACTATAACTAATATAGAAACCTGATATATACTCTAGAATGAATAAAATACGTAATTATGTGACAGGTGGAGGCAGCCACAACCGCTCCCACATTGTTGTGGTAATCACTGCCATCTAGTGATGACCTTTTGAAGCTGTCTATTATTATAATTATTATTATATAGTACATTATTATTACACATGTATTATTATTATACATATTATTTTATTATTATTATATTTATTATACTGTTATTATTAATACATATAAATAATTTGCAAATTTTATTCACACCAAAACTAGAAGATTTACTGTTATGCAGACTACTGCATTATTGTAATAATTGTATAAATAATGTCAACCCATTCATGACTGCATATTGGAATGAACAGTGACATCATTTGTTTACTCTTGAACATCGCCAAAGAATCAAACATTTCTGCTACTTTGAGCTCAATTTCAAGGTACTTTTCATCATGAAACCAATCAAAATCATATCTATTTCTGTAATATATCTTCCATTCTATCAAATGACATAAAAAAACGAGAATACAACCATAAAAACCATAGGAAAATACCGCTAAAGGACGGCTAATGACTGAGAAGTGAACTCCATTATTTATGGTTTGATTTCTTTCATTTTCGGTGAACGTTAATAAGAAGCATCTTTCCATCATACATTGCCCAAGTTTCAATAAGACAGTCCAACAAACAAATGAGATCCAATTCCCTAGATTAAGAACAAGAGCAGCTCACCAGCGTCAAGGAACCTCCCTTGAGGCCCACTCACTTATGGAAATTTTGCTCGTGTATGGAAGCAAAAAATTGACCGAGCGACTGCTCGTATTTGGAAAAACTCACACATGGATGCGCCTGCAAGTGGAGATTCCACTGTATATGTATTTTACATGCATAATGGTTGGTAATGGATCTCAGATGAAAAATTATACTTTCTTGTATCTATTTCATAACCTCTGATCCACTCATGACAATTTATGGTGATTATGTTCATGGGGGAAATGGAAACCCATATGGGTCATACAGCACCTGGGGAATGAGATAATCAGGTCTGATTCAATGAAGCTCTAATTTCTTGATGGGTAACAATTTACGAAACCTTTATGTGTAGAATCCTTATGACATACGATGTAAAAGAAAAACCACGAGTGCATACTAAAATATTGAAAGTCTAAATGGTACAGTATACTAACAAATGGGCACAACTGCAACATTTTGACATTTTAATTTTAGCACATTTCATCTTCCAAGAGCTTTATCAAGCATCAATGAACTTATCAGGACAGACCAGTGTCCTGGTATGCACAGCCAAATTAAAATATGCAAATTTTGCAAATACATATGTCCATTTACCTACATGAAAGATTAATAAATGAAAGGCAAATTCAAATAAATTTTTGGGAGTAATATCTGTAGGTGTTAAATAAGCAAGCAAAATACATTAACATGGGTATGTACAGTGTCATTCCTAAAGAAAAGCTACTTAACCCTTTGACTGTCGAGGCCGTATATATAAGTCTTACGAGGTACCGTGTTTGACATATATATACTCATAAATTCTAGCGGCTTCAAATCAAGCAGGAGAAAGCTGGTAGGCGCACATGCGAGAGAATGGGTCTGTGTGGTCAGTGTGCACCATATAAAAAAAATCCTGGAGCACGCAGTGCATAATGAGAAAAAAAAAACTTCGACCGTTTTTTTTAATTAAAATGCCGAGTTTGTGGTCTATTTTCGTATAGTATTTATGGTTGTATTCTAGTTTTCTTGGTCTCATTTGATAGAATGGAAAATATATTATAGAAATAGAGGTGATTTTGATTGATTTTACTATAAGAAGAACCTGGAAATGGAGCACAAAGTACGGGAAATGTTTGATTTTTGCCGATGTTCAAAAGTAAACAAATGATGTCATTGTCCAATAAATGTCCAAATAGCCATTCTAATATGCAGTCATGAATGGGTTGATGTAATTTTTACAATTATTACAGTATTGCAGTAGTCTGCATAACAGTAAATCTTCTATTTTTTGTTTGAATAAAATTTCAAAATAAAAAGCAAGAGTAATATCACAGGGGCCTGGAGACATGACTGATGAACAAAGAAAATGTTATTTTAGAGCCAGGAATGTGTGCATTGTTCATTCTGGTCCTTATTTTGAAATTGTCATATTTTTTAATTTTCGTTAAATTGGCCAAATTGCAAATTTCTGACCACGTTATTGGGTAGTTGAAATCGGTAAATGGGCAGTTTCTTGTACTCAATCGATAGAAAAAATTGAGTTCTGAAGAAATAGCTATGAGTTTGGTTGACTGGAATAAGGGAATTAGCCAAAAATAGGGCTCAAAGTGGGCGAAATCGCCGATTTGTAAATATCGCAGAGGTCGCTAACTTTGCGAGAGCGTAATTCTGTCAGTTTTCCATCAAATTTCGTTTTTTTGGTGTCTTTACAATCGGGAAAAGATACTCTATCATTTCATAAGAAAAAATAATTTCTTTTTCTTAAATTTTGCAACACCAGGAGACACCTCAGGATTGGGGGTTGCGACAGTCAAGGGGTTAAAAAAAATGTATACAAGGTCAAATATTGGAAATATTGGTTTGGGAATGTGAAAATGCATAATTGCTGTAAATGCTGTCTATTTTCTATATTTTTTCAATACAAATCCATCTACTAACCATATACATATGTCAAAATTAAAATTACTTTTCTTTAAAACTCCTTAAAAATTATGGCCTTTTAGCCATAAAATTAATACTCTGACACTGAAATAAAGATTATCAGATAAAGTTTGAAAAGAATGAAAGGTTTAATAAGAACATAAGAATGGAGGAACACTGCAGTAGGCTTACTAGCCCATACTAAACAGGTTCTTCTCAAATCCAACAATTCCCCCCCCCCCCATACATGCACAACCTATTCCTAAAATTGACCAAGAAATTAGCTGCAATACCTAATGATAGGCAGGTCCTAATTAATCCCAACCCTTCTCACTCATATATCTATCTAACCTATTTTCAAAGCCCCCACTCTTTTAGCTTCTATGACACTACTTGGCAGATTGTTCCACTCATCAACAACTCTGAGAACCAGTACTTTCCTACATCCTTTCTAAATTTAAATTCATCTAATTTAAATGCATTATTCTGAGTTCTTTCCTGATTCAATATCCTCAATACTTTATTTATATTGCCTTTATTTATGCCTGGCTTCCATTTATGAACCTCAATGATAGCTCCCCTCATTCTACATCTCTCAAGAGAGTGAAGATTCAGGGCTCTCAACCTATCCTTGTATGAGAGATTCCTTATACAGTGGATTAATTTTGTTATCCTTCTCCATGTGCTTTATATTCATTCTGTAGTATGGCAACTAAAACTGTGGAACATAATCTATGTGAGGCCTTACTAGTGATGTATAGAGCTGTAAAATAACTTTTGGACTCCTGTTATTCATAATTCTTGATAAAATTTGAAGTAATCTGTTAGTGGTATTGCACATGTTTAGGCATTTTTGCGTTATCCGAGGTAATCTACACATGTGCTGCTTTGCATGATAATTTATGTAACTGTATTTATGTGTACCTGTATCTGAATAAACTTATTCACTTACACTGTTGACTTGGCTTCAGATTTCTGCTTACCATGACTCTCAAGTCCTTTCCACAATCTGTGTTCTATTTATATTAGTTACTTCATATAATATAATTTAGGATAAACTGATAGGCTAAAAAAAAATTAACCTATGTAACACATATACAGTAAATACAACACAGACACAAAATATTTACCTGGAGTTTACCTGGAGAGAGTTCCGGGGGTCAACGCCCCCGCGGCCCGGTCTGTGACCAGGCCTCCTGGTGGATCAGAGCCTGATCAACCAGGCTGTTGCTGCTGGCTGCACGCAAACCAACGTACGAGCCACAGCCCGGCTGGTCAGGAACCGACTTTAGGTGCTTGTCCAGTGCCAGCTTGAAGACTGCCAGGGGTCTGTTGGTAATCCCCCTTATGTATGCTGGGAGGCAGTTGAACAGTCTCGGGCCACTGACACTTATTGTATGGTCTCTTAATGTGCTAGTGACACCCCTGCTTTTCATTGGGGGGATGTTGCATCGTCTGCCAAGTCTTTTGCTTTCGTAGTGAGTGATTTTCGTGTGCAAGTTCGGTACTAGTCCCTCTAGGATTTTCCAGGTGTATACGTATAATCATGTATCTCTCCCGCCTGCGTTCCAGGGAATACAGGTTTAGGAACCTCAAGCGCTCCCAGTAATTGTGGTGTTTTATCTCCGTTATGTGCGCCGTGAAGGTTCTCTGTACATTTTCTAGGTCAGCAATTTCACCTGCCTTGAAAGGTGCTGTTAGTGTGCAGCAATATTCCAGCCTAGATAGAACAAGTGACCTGAAGAGTGTCATCATGGGCTTGGCCTCCCTAGTTTTGAAGGTTCTCATTATCCATCCTGTCATTTTTCTAGCAGATGCAATTGATACAATGTTATGGTCCTTGAAGGTGAGATCCTCCGACATGATCACTCCCAGGTCTTTGACGT